AATGCTTTCGTTGCCTAAGAAGCTTTCTAGCACTCCAGTAAAGAGCATTGTCAGAAAAGACGTAAAATGATACACATCAACAGAGTTGGTGTCTATTCATTGGATCTGCCGAATTACAAAGGGGGAAGACAGAATTTGAAAAGATTCCATGCAATGTAGAGTCCTGTGGTATATTTTAAAGTACCGATATTATTCCTTTTAGAGTGAATGTAAAAAATATTAGTTTGAGCAATCAATATTATTTGTTTAAATAAGCATGTGACTTAAAAGTATCTCTAATTCATGATGATATGAAAACGTATTTATTTGCCACGAAGTTATTTAAATGTTATTGCAAACTCATTTTAAAACTTTGCAGAATTATAAAATTTCACTGCTCTGCAAATAATTGTTTTAATAAATTAACAAGAATTTAACACTGTATCAAAGATAATTGCGATTAAATATTAAAATATGTTATTTAAGAAATATTAAGAATATATTTGTTTAGTTTAATAAATTATGCAACTTTATTGTATTTTTAAGCATTTCAAAGCAGAAGTTATATTTCAGATGTTTATTTGATTATTTTGTTTATAATCAATTATGTGCTTATTTTTATTTTAGTATACGGGAAATATATTTTAATGCACTCTTATTTATTAATTAAAACATTTAATTTATTTTTTCGATTTTGACACTTCAATGTGTATTTTGGAAAAAAAATAACTTATTTAAGAATTTTTTAAGGAAACATTTTATTTGTTTAATAACAAATAAAAAAAAGAACATTGAAGAAACTTGTATGAAAATATCAAGCATTAATGGTGATCAGTGATGGTAAATTAGGAAATAAATATTAATCCTTTGAAACTCAGGAATTTGACTTTTATTTAATTTAATTTTTTAATTTGAACATTTAAATGAAAAAAAGCTTTTTTTGTTATAGTACGTAGGAATGTGACGTAATGACAAAAAGAATTTATATAGAAACAAAAATATGCATTTTAAATATGTCAAATAGAATTGATTTTAGTTGTTTGTGCGTGGGATTCAAATAAACGTAATCATTTTAGCCGTCAATAATATCAAATAAATATAATCAAATTTAGGAAACATATATTTAATAGAAAACGCAAATAGAGACTGCTGTAAACATATTGATTTTGTTAAAAAAATGTATTAAATATAAAAAAATGCACTCATTAAAGTTTCTTATATAACACGAAAATACTTGATATTTTTTAACTTTTCAGGACATATAATTTATTTATGTCCATAAATTTACAATTTCTGTTTCCAGCATATTACCTCTTTATTTATTTTGATTATTTAGCATGCATTTTAACTCAATAATTGTCAAACAGAACAGGAAAAAGCAAAGCACTCCCTGAAAGCAATCTCCTCATATGAAAATAATTGAATGAATGCAGGCAATATAACTCAATGAATCACTTGAAATTTTGAAACAGAAACATTGAAACGTCAACGTCCAAAAATAGAGCAATACGTTTTAAACTAATAGTTTGTTTTTAAAATCTTAAAAACAAAATTTTTAATTCGGTGCTTAACAGTGGGCAGTAATATCTTTTTAAAAGCTTGTGAAAAACGCAATCGTGTCATAAAAATCAGATAGAATTTTGGTAAATTATATTACAGACAAGAGAAATATTTACCAATAATATCAAGTTTCTGAAATTCATAAAAAAATCATGGTAGCGGGACCAAGCTAAATCGACATTTTAAATGCATGAAGAGTAATATTATTCATAATGTAGTAAGGAAAGTAATATTATTTTAAATGCATGAAAAGTACTTTATTTACTCATTGAATGCAAATTTAGGTCTATGATCCATTTTTGGAACGTAGGCAGATAAACGGTTAACTTAGGATTCATCGATAATAATATTTCTTAAAATAAAAATAGTTTGTCAATCAAACGCATACCAAATAGCGAATATTAATATGAGTTAGGACTATGAGCAACAAAACCGAAATTTATCGAAGTTTAATTTTATAATTTTTTTTTAAATACAGCTGATGGATTCATGTAAATCTTCCTATGGAAACATAAATACCTATATCGTACAACTAAAACTTTACATGGTCCTATACAATTTAAATGATCAATTTGTCAAATCAATCCGACAAGAAGATTAAATTTAATTGGCGAACAAACTAAACTCAGCGGCGACAGCCCATAGAGGGCCAAGGCCTACTGTGCCCATGTCAATTTTCTTGACCTTGGGCTCTGGGGTGCAGGAGCAGATGTTCCGGTCAGGTGGTCAGCCGAACGCAGAACCCCCAGTGTTTAGTTCCCAAGCATGCTTGGTACTGGTGGTATTTATCGACCCACTGAAGGGATGAAAGGCTGAGTCAACCCTGCCCGAGGATCGAACCAGGGACATGTGGCACGACAGCGCGAAAAACTACCGTTCAGCCACCGGGCATCACTTGGTGAACCGGAAATCACTTGAGTCAACCAATCATTGAAGAGCATTGAGACGTGTTTGCCATTAAATAGGTTACAATCAGTTTGTTAACTGAACTCGATAAGAGGATTGCAATTACTTGGCAAATTATAGGCAAATGATCTTGAAACTTGCTTTCTCATAAGAACTGGGATCGATAGATAAGCCTCGTTAGGCTTCGATGTTTGCCATCTTGGATCGAAAATTGAAAAAAGTTCATATATTGAGAAATAAAACTGATAATTAAGTAAACTCACTCATTGTGCGCAGCTGGGGTCTTCTGCCATTGATTGTATTGTTTCTAACACAAATGAAATCAAAATTTACCTTCATTTTCCAAACTTTAGAGAGCATTCAAAAACGAGAACAGCACATCCTCGAGTAAAATGCATTTGACCTGGTGTAAACTTTGTCAATTAATTGTGTTAAGGGTTTAACTGCACCATTCAAATTATGTACGAACGCTGAGTCGGTATTAACTTGAAATAACACAATTTTTTTTTAAAACTCCAAATCCAGATAAGTATTAAAATACAGTTTTTACAGTACACTAAACTAAAACTTAATGGCACGACAGCCTATAGAGGGCCAAGGCCTACTGAGCTAATCTCAGTTTTCTTGACCTTGGACTCTGGGGTGCGGGAGCAGATGTTCCGGTCAGGTGGTCAGCCGAATGCGGAACTCCCAGTGTTTAGTTCCCAAGCATGCTTGGTACTAATTTATCGACCCATTGAAGGGATGAAAAGCTGAGTCAACTTTGTCCGGGACGAGGATCGAACCAGGGACCTTTGGCACGACAGCGCGAAGCGCTACCGCTCAGCCACCGGCCGTCTTTTACAGTGCACTAATCATATTATTTTTCAAAGTGATTATGGAAATTGGACATTAAAATCATTAACTAATCATTTTTAAATTTGTTTTAATAGTTAAACTTATATTAAGGTTTGTTAGAGAATACAGTGAATTTTTTTATAATTTTTCTGTGCAATTAATTCTGTTAAAATGATAGTTTCACTTGTTACATAGCTCTGTTACTTCTTATATTGATTTGGGTTTCATAATGTGCTAGCTATTTTCGAAATAAATACTAAATTAATAAAAGTTTATTATATAAATCTAGCCATGAATGTAATATTTTTATACAAATTGAAACTAGAATACATTACGTCTAATATTTTAAATTGGTTGGTTAATATTTGTTTGAAATATGAAAATATTCAAAATAAAAAAAGATTGAGATCTTTTAAAAACTTCCTGTTTCTAAGTAGCATAATAAATTTCACTTAAATGCATGATTTTTTTTTTCTTGCATAAAATAGATTTTGATTAATTTGCAAAGATTTATAATATTTTGACGCATAAATGTGTACTAGATTTTTAATATGATTGTGCATATAACTCTCTAAGTTCTGTTTTCGGTTTAGTTATTCATTGATTTAGAATCTTAACTTTTCAGAAAGTAACATGAAAACTAAAGTTTCTAAAGGAAACCAATACTTTCTTTCTTACAAAGTTGGTTGGCTTATTTTTCTTTGCAATGCATTAATGAAAGAAGCAACATTGTTCGACTGCATGAAAATAGAAAAAAAAATCTCAGAATAAATACAATGACTAAATCTAGTTACGAGTTTCAGCAAAAGGTAATTTAAGAGTTAAAAGTGTGCTGAGAATTACTGTGCATTTGATGAAAAAAAAAGGTTTTTAGGTTTTCATACCCCAATAAGCAAGGAGAACTAAATTATTTTTACTGCTTTTAAAAATTTATGCTACTAAATAATTAAAGTTTAAATAAATACAGCTCTAGCAGCAAATCTATGTTACATATTATAAGTTTTTCCTTCAAGATGTCTTATTCATAATGAAACATTTTTCCGCATATGACGTTAAAAAATTATTTTTATAAAAATCAAATATTACATGCGTCAAAATGTGAACAGTGGAAAAGGAACATGCAACCGTATCAATTGGAAAAGCTTTAGAGTTATTACCAGGCACAAGGGAGTAAAATATATGACTTATCAAGTGAATGTGGTACAAGAGTGGTTTTTGACTTAACTTTTCCTCTGCTTTAAATTAAAGTAGTCAGTTTAATTTAGGGCTCATCATAAAAAGATGTCAGAAAATAGTTTATGGCTCTCTTTTTCTTAGTGCAAATCTGTTTTTAGCGAATCTGTAGCGTACTAGAATTTTAATAAACAACAGTTTTATTCTAGGCTTACTTGCACAGTCAATGAAACAATAATAGTTTCGATAGTGAAAATGTTAAAGTCATGTGAAAATATTTTTATAGCCTGGGTAAGGTAATACTCGCGTCACAGCAGATAAAAGTGGCGAAATTTCTGATATAATGCTAATTTAAACCATAGAAATAAGTAAAGTGAAGAGTAATTTAATGACAAATACTACAAACATAAAAACATTAACTGCATATCATATAAGTAAAATGTAAAGTAATTTGTGAAATAAATTTAGTTTGAAGTATTTGGCAAACAAAAATTAACTAAATATTAATAAGTTTAATAGTTAATTTTTTACTCTTACAGCCATACATATTGTTATATACCTGCTTCTTCTTCTTCAGCACGACAGCCCCTTACAGGCTTCGGCTGCCTCAACAACACGTAGCCTCCAACGCCTCCTGTCCAAGGCGACTTTTTTCCAGTAGTTTATCTTCAATAGTTTTAGATCTTTAGCAGTGTCATCTAGCCGTCTAGTTGGAGGTCTTCCTCTAGCCCGAGATCCCGAAGGATTTTTAGTTATATGCCTGCAGCAACTCCATACTCGTATGTTTATTTTTTCTATGTATAGTGAGCAGAATAAAAAAATGGACCACCCTTTGCAACTTTTGATCTAATATCGGAATTTTTACGATCTAGGGCTCATTCTTAAAAATTCGAGGGGTGGCTTCAAGTATGCTAATTAGTTTATGCAGATGATATATTAACGAAATTAAAGAAAAAATCAACTTTTTCTGAATAAATATACCTATTTTATGACGGGTTTCGATTTCTGATCCCTAAAACATAAGGGGCAGCAGGAATATTTTTTATTTCCAATGCAGCAGGCGATACGGACATTATCCTAACGCCGTACGGAGATTAAAATAAAACAAAAATACAAATACAGAAGGAGATGAAATATACAAAATACAAAAACAAAAGCAAAACATCAAACACAAAAATTAATTCAAGAACTTAAATTGAACAAAAGTTCTCTGGCCTCCCAGTATCGGGAGTAGATGCAGTTCTTTGTGAGAACTGAACAGTTGAGAAGATGTCATGCATTCATCGTCGCACCACTGCGGCAGAGGGGGCAGGCAGGATTATCCACTATTTTAAGACGGAAACGATGGTCGTATAAGCAATCGTGCTTGGTAGCAAGACGAAAGGCAGCTACAGCACTGCTTCTTGGGCAATCGGGGAGATTAAAGATGTCATTTCCCCACGATTTTTCTTTTGTTTGTCTTTTAGCAATGATATATGTGTTGTCTTAATTGCATGATTAATCATTAATGAAGTGGACTTATAGCTAACCAAGTTATGATAGCAGGAATATAGTCCCAATAATTTGGTCAGGAGAGCGGTTCAAAGTTTGGACCCCTTAATGTTAATATAACTTCAGGCTTATTTCGCCATATCTCAAGAAACTTTTATGTGAATTCAAAAAATTTTAATACACAATTATAGATTTCATATATCCATGGATAATTTCCAGCAAAAACTAACTTTTAATAAATATTTATTATTTTTTATTCACTTAATTAATATTACTCGAGAAACTTTTGAATTTTAAGGTACATTATTTTTTCATCATTTCAAAGGATATAATTTTACATGGCAATAAGTAATATTTGAGAAAAATCGACCAATTAGTTCCTGAGAAGTAAAAATTTTAAAATACGACTTTTTAAAAAAAAATCGATTTCTCAGGACTTATTCGTCCGATTTCACTTTTAAAATTTTGCCTTCAATAATATTCTTCAAAATGACCTGAAAAAGTATTTACTTCAAAATTTAAATTTTCACGACTAATATTAGATAAAATTTTAAAAAAATGATGAATATTTAAGTTAATTTTAGCATGGAATTATCTTATAATAAAGGCATTTTATAACTGTGTTTAAAATGTTTCAAATTCGCTTAAAAAGTATTCAAAAAGGAAAATTAACATTAAGTGGTTCAAACTTTGGACCATATTTCTCAGATCGCGGCTTCCCCTTATATCACTAATGAACGCGGCTACCCCTTATAAAAGGATCAGAAATCCGAATCGGTTTTGTGTTTAATTCTGTAACTTAAAGCACTAATTAATAAGCATATAACTAGCACTAATTAATAAGCATATAACTAGCACTAATTAATAAGCATGTTTGAGATAACCCCATCGAAACCATAAAAATTGAGTTCTAGAGCATCGGCATCCGATCATTAGATCAAAAGTTATTTAAGGTATTCCTTGTTTTTATTTTGTGCATGGCACATTATTAAATTATTTTGTTTCTTTGAAATTACTCAGTGGTACTAGAAAGTAACTATCAATTTGTTTTACAGCAAAAATTTACTCAATCAATAATAAATGATTAAATGACTAAATGTGTGTGCCATTGGTAATGTAATTTATGTGTCATGGGGTTTTAATTTTTTTATATTCCTTATAGGCCAATTCCTAAGAAGTGAAAACGGAAATAATTATGAGAAATATATCATTATCATGAGAAAGATATAAACTTTTTGTGAAATTTGTGCCTTTTCCCAACATATGAAGTAGGTCCTTTCTTTCAATCTTGATTTAGCTGAGTAAAAAGGAGACTAATGAGAAAAAATATGAATGGTGCGATTTATTCATAAAAATTATTGTTTTCAATGTAATTTTTAATTTCATAAAATGACACTGGATTCACATTTATAGGTCTAATAGTTTAGATTTTATAAGAGGTTTTGATTTAATTACTAGTTAAATATTTCCAATCTGAAAAATGAGATATTACTCCTTTCTTATATTTCTACACTTAATTGAATGAAGCTATAACCAAAGTAACAAAAAAACAAAAGGATATGATATAAGTGAATAAAATATAAGAATAGAAGTTAATAAAGCATTGTTAGAAATTTCTCGGGAAAATGGTAATATAGCAATTTATTTAATTGTTATTTTACCATATTCAAACAAAAACAGGCAAATAATTTAAAAGGAAATGGTAATTAAAATCATATTATAGCCGAGATGACTAATCAGCCAGTCTCATGATCAACAGAGCTAGGGTTCGAGTCCCCGTTGACACAACAATATTTCCTCCATTCCTTACAACACATGAAAACTTTCCAGTGTCCTGCATTCTCCAATGTCCCTTACCTAACGGAAAGCCTAGCATTTATGCACAGGAAACTTTTTTCATGGTTTTGAAACCATGCTAGTTGTAAAAGGTTAAAACGTATTGTTATGTATTTATGGCTTTATAATCATACTAGTTTAGTTGTAAACAGTTTCAAACCTGTAAAGGTAAAAATTACCCTGAACTAAACGTTGCAGTCAATTGTCTGCTGATTATTTTACTCCAAATTTGGAATTGAAATTGTAAACAGCGTGATTATACATTTTACATTAAGATTATACATGACAGTAAACATTCTAAAAAGCTAAGTGTTTATGCGCACTTTGAGTGTCTTTCAATCACAGACCAAAAATTATAATTTTATTAAGTAGCACAAGTTTAGATTTTTTTGCTCATAAATTATTGATTCTTGCAATCTTTATAAATCTATGAATGATTTCTTTATTTAAAACAATTAGATTTTAACATAGAAAGATCAGCTTTTTTCTATCCCGAATCAATTTAACTAGGTCCGTTGAGTATTTGGATGCTGAACTTATTAGGTAAAAACTGGTAATTGTTTGATATATTATATGGTTTAAGTGCAATATACATATTTGAAATTCCGTTGAGTACTTGGATGCTGAACTTATTAGGTAAAAACTGGTAATTGTTTGAAATATTATATGGTTTAAGTGCAATATACATATTTGAAATTTGATCTATTTTGATCTCTTCCTTGAGGTGAGCATTTGCCTCCAGAGCATATATGGCAGCGTTACTTTTAAAAAGTAGCGAGTAAAAGTACAAGTATTTTTAAAAAAAGTAACGAGTAAAAAGTAAAAAGTTCTTATTTTAAAAAGTAACGAGTAAAAAGTACAAGTAAAAGTACAAGTACTAAACAAAAAAGTAACGATTTAAAAATACATTTCTAGGAAATCGAAAATTCAAACTAATCTAAAATTTTATTGAATAATATTCTTATGTTCTTTAATGTTTTTGCAAAATTTTTGTTATTTATTTAATTAGTTTTAATTCTGAAAGTTATGGACATTCATTTATTTTTAAATTCGGAAGAATATTACAATTTTATAATATAATCGTATAATATAATTTTAAAATCAGACATAATTTTAATATCAAACTTCTTATGGATTTGCACGAAAAAGAAATTTTATCTATTGATTTTAATTTTTAGTTTATTATTTTTATTACAAACATAAACAAAGCAAACACGGGGTTTCAGATAGCTTTGTGATCTTTGAGCTAGTGAAAAATAATTGAATGTGCAATATAAGTTGAAACAGAACAGTCTACAGTTTTATTTGTCACAATGGCTAATGCTGAAATCATTTTCCGAACATTTCTGCCCAAGGAATAATTAAAATTTGTAAACGAATTTTAGTATCAGCGGCTAAATTAATACCTTCAAGTTTTCAAGAGTTAAAATAGTAATTATAATAGTTTTCAATAGCACAAATAGTTCTGAAGTTCTTAGAGATTTGACTGGGCGTTGTTCGACAAGGTCGGGCATAAACATAATTTTAGTAAAAAATGTACTAGGTAAAAATGAATTTAGTAAAAAATGTATTAAGACAAAAATGTTCAGAATGCTCAAAAATGTTCACAAAATTAGTGAGTTAAAAAAGAAAATTGAAAAACGTAATAACAAAATCCAAAATTTTTTATTTAAAATGTATTAAATAAATGCATAAAACTCGGAAATGAATGAAAATAACTTGCTAATTAATATTTTTATTCTCGCATTATACGTATTCACGTATAATATTTTTATTCACCTATTTTTATTCAAGTAGTATTTAAACGCGAAGCTAGCTGTGAATGCATATATATTGCACACTGATTTTATAAATTAAAAAAAACGTAAGCATTTTTTTTTAATTTAAATTTTTTTTCTTTTTTTTTTAAAAAAGCCTGCCGAGTTTTAGGAAAAAGTAACGATTTCATTCGACATTTCCGTTACAAATACTTGTACTTTTTCCCCAAAAAAGTAATGAAAGTACAGGTAAAAGTACTAAATTTAAAAAGTAACGAAGTGCAAGTAAAAGTACGTACTTTTTACTTGTACCGGCGGTACAAGTAACGAAAGTAAAAGTACTGCCATATATGCTCCAGAGTGACTTCATTAGGGAGAAGGGTTCAGGAAGAGGTGAAGTATAAAGTTGCTAGTGACTAGTAAGATAATGGTTCATAGGTGCTTTTTACTTTGAATCGAATGAAACCAGGCCTAACTCTGTCGGACAAGTCTATATCATAATATGTTCATATGCTATATCAAAGTCTTGAATTTTCTGAAAAAAGGTCAAAGGTAGCATAATTTGTTATAAGTGTAAGCAGGGGTGTACAACAATGCTACACAGTGATGTATTGTTTCTTATGCAACTTTTACACTAAATCAAATGATGCTAGATTATAGGACATAATAATTATATAGTAATAATTATAAGGATTTTTGAATTCTACTAATTAGGAATTTTGAGGAAGTTGTAAGATTCAAGAATTTTGCTTATTAATTTGCTTGATATTGCTATCTGGAAAAATGAAGTAACGTTTTTTAGCCTATTTAATTAAAAAACGCGTAAGAGAAACAATACTTCATTCGTATGGGTAGTAATTTCAGAGATTGTAATAATTTAGATGGATAGTAATTCAGTCCAACCCTCTCGGTAAATTCAGAACGACAGCTGGAGATCACCCCCCGAGGCTTAGCTTCTATTTAAATATGTATATTCGTATATGACTTTAATCAAAATTTTCAAACATTTTTCAAAATTTCCTTAATTATATTCATGTTGGGTATTGTTAATGCTGAAACGAGGTCAACTAGATGTTATATCAAAGTTTAAAAGTTTTCATTCGTGCAATATCAGTATTATGCTAAATACTTATTCAGCAATATATACTTTGATATAGGATAAAAAAAAATCCTATTTTACACTGAAAGTACAAATGCTTTTTAGAAACGTAACCTTAAACTATGCATTGCGCATTCAGTTATGGACATTAAGACTTTAACTGATTAAAAAAAATTTTTATCTAATTGCCCTCCCAATTACAATTATTAAAAAATATTTTGTATTAAATAGTAAAAGATTTTATTAACTGTGAAAACGATTTACAGACGCATGAAATACCTGCGTACCTTTTATTTTGATATAATTTTTTTAAAAAATTCATAATTTAGAGAAAAATTAAAGATATAAGCTTTAAAATGTTAAAAAAGAAAGTTATCTTTAAAAGTAAAGTTATCTCAGAGCAAATGAATTTTTCGATCCACCTTAATTGCAGTTATCGTTAAGTTGTTTAATTAGCGCAATTTAAAGAAATGGTTTTTGAAGGATGTTCTTCTCAAATAAAGAAATAAAAACACGACTCAGTTATCTACTTTTTTCATAACAGACATGAAAAAAATGGTTATTTCATAATTGAAGAAGGAGATACTTAAAAAAATCTAAAAATATGATGATTATTTCTAAAATAGCTTCTTAGAAACAATTAAATTATTTTTTTTATCAAAGCATTTGAATGTAGAACGAAATATTAAGAATAAATTTGTAACGATATTTTTATAATTGTTTTAAATAGCCCCATTATACAAGAATAAAAATAACTGTGGGCCACATACAACTGATAGTTTAGCCTTGTGAGATACTGCAAGCGAATAGGAATAAAAGTAATTAATTTCAGAAATTTTTATAAGAATGAATAAAAGCATAGTTAACTATTCAATTAGTTTTTTGGAAAAACATTTTTTTATTGCTTTACGAGGTATTATATTGTCTTTTTGTATTTAACTTTAATGGTTATGGATGCTTTTTAAACCTCTTAATTTTATTTTTTAATGAAAAAAGAGAAATACGAAAAAAGCGTGGTTTCATTACTTGGTTAATCTCTAAGGTTTTTCTAAATTAAGGTGCATTTATACATAGGACATTTTCATAATAAATGTCTTTTTTTACTCCTCGTAAAATAATTTTAAATACTGAAACTTCCAATAATAAGACAAAACATTATGAGTTAAAGAAGTCATTATACATTGAATGGAGAAAAATAATTAACTTTATTTCAAGTGTCCTCTAATTTTAAAACAAATAAATAAATAAATGAAGTGGAAATATATTAAGGTAGCTCAATAATTTGATTTTTTAATTTACTTTGCACATATATTATTTTTTGTTGAATTTTCAGATTTTTCGAAATTTTTATAGCCTTATGAAACACGAATTTTTTTACAAAATCATCAAGTTAAAAAAAATTTAAAAAATACGTTGTAAATATAAAAAGTGTGCTTGAGTGCTCAAAAGTGGCGAAACAATTGAAACAATAGATAGTTTATTTTTAACTAGATTTCAACACTAATGATACATGTCTATTTACGTCTAATTAAAAATGAATTCAATGTTGTACATACTCTTAGTTTCATATAATTTT